TGGCATAGTACTCTTCTAGGGTTTTATTCGCTTACTGCAGATCGAAATACTCCTGATAGAGTTGATATACCCTTGTAGTATTATCCTGCCCAGAATAAAGCTTCTTGGCATGTTCCCATATGTCCTTAGYTGTATCTAAGAACATAAAGTTGGCACTTATTTTGGGTTCCATAGTATTCCATAACTGTGTCATGATTTGGGCATCTTCCTGTTCCCAGTCATCAAACCCCGAAGAGTCAGCTGGTGGTTTATCTTCCTTCACATGCTTCACTTTCCTCTTTGCCTTGAAAAAAGCTTCCACTGACTTGGCCCATGGTACATAGTTCTCACCATTAAGTTTAATTGAAGTCATCTGCACACCCAGATACTCAGAGGGAATCACCACACTAGGTTTCTGATCACTACAACCATCTCCAGTTGTTGCCATGATGCTCTTCCAATGCTACCTCTAATCTGAATTCCCAGTCGCCAACTAAGTACTGTTGTCAAAATTTTGGTGTTCCAGACACTACAACAGTCCCCAAACACAGATGATAGGCTCACAACCAGTCACAATCAATCACCATTGTTCACAACCAGCCACAATCAAGCAGTCCCCAAACACACAGATGTCCCAGACACTACAGCCGTCCCCAAACACAGTTGATAGGTACACAAACTTTTGTTCTTGTTCACACCACTACTGATTTCACAAAACCATGAATCACACTAACATTAATTCAGCAACTCACTCACCACATACAAGCCCTCTTGAAGTTGCTCAATAGAGATTGAACATCACAAGCACCACCACACAACCATAGTTGTCACACATGGTACAGATCTATCTGACCTTTACAGAGGGCACTACAACTCCAAAGAAAACATCAACTACTGCCACTGCAATAACCTGTCATTCAATTCAGGTCACTTGTGACCAACAAAGGCTTCAAAACAACTACAGACCCACATAAAAGGGTCAAACATACCCTTACACCAATCGGCCACTGTAAACACAGCCTGTTCTTGGACCTTTTTCCAAGAACCAAGGCTACAAACAACCTAGTTCTCTAGGTTCTGATCAGTCCAAGCAAATTTTGAAGGCTTTCAACCCAGAAATACCAATAGCACAAAAAAAAAAGGTAACCAACCTCCGATGGAGAGCTTCAGTTGACCATCCACTTCTGAAGTTGTTTTTTTTTTCTTGAAAAACAGTCAAGTTTTGCACAGAGGAAGAAGGACTGAAGTGTTCTCAGGCCTAGGTCGAATCTGTGTTCTCCATTTTCAGCCCAAAAAGAAGAAAGAAAAAAAAATGAGGTCACGAACAGAGAGGAGCAGGGGAGGAGATTTAGAGAGCAACGTCCTGCTCTRATACCATGTTTGTCCTGTAGCTACAATAGTTCGAACCAAGAGAAGAGCAAAAGAAGAAGAAGAAGAAGAGAACAGTCGAATCTGATAGCCTAAACCCTATCAATCGACCCTAATATGGATTAGCCTCTAATTAGTAGTACAAAGACTAAACTGCCCCCACTTAAGTATGGGACAGGAAGTCTCTATTAAAACTGCCACATAAGCACATAACTTAATAGAAATAAAATGACTAATCTACCCTTATTCGGCTAGCTCTAACAGATGTTATAGTTTCTTTTTCCCATTCCATGTTTGGCCTAAGTTAACAAGCTAAAGAGATGAGGATGGCTGATATCTGTGATAAGGTAAACCACCCCCCCTCCCCAACACACACACACACAAAGAAAGAAGTATGCAGTGAAGGAAATCCACTTGAATTTTTATTCTTCTTCTCCAATAACAACCAAAAGGCACATCCAGTCTTCGTTTTGAACTTGAGGAGGATTGCTGCTTAGATATTGCAATACTATGCCTTTCCAGTTTGGTTCACATAACATTGCTTGAAATCAGTTACAGGTGATGAGGCTAAACCAGGACATTCGTTCCAAAGGAAAAAAAGAGAAGAAAAGCATGACTATATGTAGATTCTCTTAATTTATTTATTAGCCAACATACCTCTGCTTCCAAGTTCTCAAATTCAGCTAAAACTTCTTCTTCATCTTCTGCTGATAGTTTCTCCCCCAGTATTGCATTGATTTCCTTCATCACAAAATAAATGTCAGTCTAAGTTCAGAAATTAGAAATGGGCCTAATAGCAAATTGAGACTATTAGAAGGCAACAAAACAGATGATGTAGATCAAAAAGTTGTATTATAGTCATTAAAAGATCAACACCACCAAGAATAACCAAAAACAAGAAACTGAGATATGATAATCATGAATTTTAACAATTGACTTCTTGGATCAAGCAAGTTTAAGTCAAATAGATATGCATGCCTAAGAAGGATTTACTTAGAAACTGAATGGAGCATATTTTGGACCACTGGTTAAAACCCTTCATAATAGGCAGATATTCAGTAAGTTGACAAGCTAGCAAATATATTTATAAGTTGCAAAAGGTATGATGATCACCATAAGGAGGTATTCTCTCTCTCAGTTGGAAAAACTAGAGAGGTGTATGAGCTTGATGTTAATTAAAAACCATCAAGATCCCAACATGATAAACAGGGAGAACTGTGGAAATATGTTCTTGTCTGGTTAAACTTCTCTCAAAAAAACAATAAAGATGAGAAAGTGAAAATGCACATTTTCAGATGGTGGGCCTCATCCTGAGGCAACTAATTCAGCACTGAATTGAATCTACTGAAAACTGAAGCAAAGAAGAAGAGTATTACTGACAACAGCAATAAAAACTTGCAGAATGGTGCAAGCATGTTAGTGGCAGAAGAATATGAAACCAACATGCAACAGAATCCAGCACAAAAAAAGGGAAAATGTAGAGAACAGGGGTTTCTCCTGAGCATGTCCTTCTTGAACAAATAAACTTTTGAGGCTTGGACCATAAACAATCAAGAAGAGTTATCAACTCCTGCAATAATGTTAGGGGGAAAAAACAGACAATAAAAAGAAAGGAGCTATATCAACACAAGTATTGAAACTTACATCTTGATAAGCCTTTGCTTCGGCTGTGTCATCCATCAATTTTTGAACATCGTCCAAATTAATCTCACTTTGCAAAGACTTAATAGCACTAGTACTAGCCTTCATACTTTCAAAAACAGCCTTCTGCTTGCTTGCTAGTTCAATATCTGCTAACTGAAAAAATAATAGATAGGAGAGAGATGCAAATCAGTCCTCAAATATTAGGTGTAAATTTGAAGATTAGAAGGAAAGGAAGTAAGAGCAGCAATGCAAGAGAAGAAGATGGCGAAAAGAGAAGGAAGAAGAAGAAGAAATCGAATCATCTCTCCTTTCTCCTCTAACCTTTTTTTATTAAGAATTAAAGTTAAAGTAATGACAAGTATGCCCTTAAGTGGGCGGCCAGCTAGGCAGTAACATAAAGAGATTAAACAAAAAAGAAATAACAGGCCCATTACGAGAGGCCCATTAGCCAACAATAAAAGAAATGATATTACAAGAGAATATACTAGGGCCCATTCGGCCCAGTCTCTTTACAGAGAGTTCAGAGCTTAACTGTATAACTCACATAAAAGGTATACGTCAGGAACAACTTACTTGTTGCTCTACATTAATGATCCATGCATCAACTTGCTTCAGTAATTCTTCCTGGGCCTTCTTCTTTTTCAGTGCAAGCAAGGCTCTATCTTTCTTTTTCTCACGAATCAAATCTCTTGCAGCTTGCTTCTCTGCTTCAATCACAGTGTCAAGCTGAAAGGTTCACATAGTGAATAATAATTATTAAAAAATATAACACTATTAAGCCTCCTAAATCAGTGTTCTCTAGCAGACTTCCTCAGTTTCTCATGACAGTAACAATACAATAAATTTTCGATATAATGCAATTATATGTCTGTTGAATGTTCTTCACCGAATTAGATCCTTAACACTTGTGTGTGCAAAATGCATGCTTCAAGACTTCATTACTCCTTAACCCAAAACATAAAGTATTTCATTATTCAACCTAGTAATTAAGGCATAACAAGAAGTAAACTGCAAGTAAATTATCAGTGTAGCAGTGCCTGCAATCCTATAAACAACAAGCACAGATATTAACTGTTGATATCTATACATTGGTGACACTGTGTTTCTCTACAGTTGGATGATTTGCAAAAGAAGATTCTTATACAATCATTTTTCACCTGTTTAGAGACCTCACAGTTAGGAATCATGCTGGTGCAAGGTATTCAAAGTCATTTCAGTGTGGATAGAACTGGAAAGACCATATGGGGTCCTTTCATCACAAATCACATTAAGTTAGTTTCATAAAATCCCTAACAACTGAATGAAAGTATATAATAATAACACTATTAGTGGAATTGGTGGTCTTATTATCAATTCTGATGGCATCCTGGTCAGGATTTTTAGCAGGCCTATTGGGGTCTTTGATGCTTCTGAAGCTGAAGTTAGAGCCCTGCTGGTTCGTTTGAGCATTGCCAAGTCTATCTCGGCTAGAACTCTTGTGGTTGAAGGTGATTATAGAATGCTATTGGTTGGGCCTCTTATATGGACCTTGGCCTTTGGAGAATTGCTCATTTCCTATGTGAGATTCGTGACCTCACGATTTGCTTGACCTGCTCCTTTAGATGGATTCCAAGGGAAATAAATTCAATGGCTGATGTCTTGCTAAATATGGGGTGGACAGTGATTTTTTATATAATGCAAATTCTTTCCCTTATGTAAATCTTGATGTAATAGAGGATATTTGTTTTTCGGCTGTACATCCTCTCATGTACATTCCCCTTTCCCCTTGTCTGCAAGCTACCTTTTCTCAAAATAACAACAACAATGAAAACAGATCCACTATACAGTACCAATAGTGATGTGAAGGTTGAAAATGTTCAAATATCCACTATCACCTATGCATGAGCAGGGATTCTGCAGGTTGTGGATATATATCGCTTGGCATATAAAAAAACTAGGTAAAAATATAAGAAGGCAAGGTATGCATTTATGGAACAAAAAAACAAATTAAATAAATACATAAAAGTGCACACAGAAATATCAATAATATCAACTTTCTATGATTCATAAGCAAAACTCCGTAATATATAATTTATAACCTCTTCTACTTCACAAAAGCACAGACTGATAGGGTGCCAAAGACAGAACTTAGAATAATAATTTAAGCACCTGACATGACACAGCACCCTAGTATTGGTATTTGGGAAACATGATTGATGGTTCATCAGAAACACTTGCTGATCCTAGACTACAAGTTTAAGGTAAATACAGTTACTTCTTTAAACATTCCAGATGCTCCCTCGGAATCCAGATCAGGCTTGCATTTGAACATTCCAGATGGTCCCTAGCTTCTGCCAAAAAAAGACTCAATCTCCAAGGTCCACCCTCCTTGTCCCTTAGCAATTTTATGGTATTTGCTGAATTGCCTGCAATAGTTAAGCTCTGAAAACCCAAGTTTCTCACTATTCTAATTCCTGTGAGAGAAGCCAACACTTCGGCCTTAGTAGAGTCAGTAAAACCTATTGGACCACTGTAAACCCAGCAGACATCACCCCTTTTATCCATATAATACCTCCAATGCCAGCTAAACCAGGATTGCCTGAATCGCTTCCATCAAAATTTAAAGCCGCCACTCCTTCCAACTAAATACTGGCTCTCTCGAGACAGTTTGAGAACAGCATGGGAGGAACAGAAAAGTATGAGCACTTCTGTTAAGGTCATTAACTGAGAAACCTTTCAACAAATCAGAAATAACAGTCCGCAGATTGCAAAGGTAAGTAATATAAGAAATTAAATATTCGACCTCGTTTGCATCTCGGTAAGTCATTTACCCAGATAATTGCATTTACCAATGTTATTTTATTCCCCAAGTAAAGTTGTACAATGACCATTTTATCCAAAAAAGTGACATTATTGAAGGGACAATGTTGTCACAACATGTATTAGAAATTTTGGCACGGACGGGTAAGTGATTTACCCGTCTCAGGAGGGTATTACTTGCCCAAGTAAATGAGCCACTCATAACCATTCTTTTCCATGGGACCCACTAATACCAAAATATGAACATGGGTTTATTTCTTTTCTGTGGGACCCACCAACTTAACCACCCCCACTTCATGGAAAATGAAGAGGCCTTCAAGGGAATTGGTCTTGTAGTCAAAAGGGTGCTTATTTCTTTCCTCCCAAACTCTCCATATCACTGCATGAAACACAGTTTGCCAGTAAACCTTGCCTCTTCTACTTAAGCCTCTTCCTTTCCACTATTTGTATGAAGTCCAGAATATGCTCTGGAACAACCCAACTATAACCAGCCAAACTCAGGAAGTGGTGCCAGATGTTTTGTGTTAGTTGACAGTGGAGAAGTGATCAGCTGATTCACCTTCACTAAGGCACAAAATGCAAGTGTGGGGAGAGATGAAGAGTCTAGCCAAGCTCTTCATTTGAAGGAGGTCACAAGTGTTTATTCTTTGTAAACAGGCTTCCCAGACAAAGAAGCAAAATCTTGAGGGGATATGATCGCACCAAATCTTCTAAAGGGAATAAGGAAATCTGCTCACCTGCAGTCAAAGCCTTGAACAATGACTTGAAAGAAAACTCGCCATTTGGGTGGAGAGTCCAAACTCTGGTGTCAGGAGAATGAGGGGAGATGTAAACTTCTTTAAGGGTTTGGAGAAGAGCAACTAAATCGTTTATCTCTAGGTCCCTTAAGGGTCTTCTAAGGCTTAAATTCAAAGTGTTTTCAGAAGGGAGATTAGGTAGGAAGAAGAAACAGCTGCTTCTTGGTCTAGGGGTTAAAAAGTCTACTCTAGGGAAGGAGGCACTTAGAGTAGAATTACCCCACCAAAGGTCCTTCCAAATTTAATCCTGATCCTATTATCCACTTTGTACCTAATAAAATGAAAGAAGTTGTTGTGGGTAGAGACAATACCTATCCAAGGATTTGTTGACTTTATCCTATTCAAATGGAGATTGCTATCCCAACCATTTGTGCTGGAACCATACTTGCTGGTGATGACAACTGACCCAGAGAGCATTGGAACCAATGGGAAATCTCCAAAGCCTTTTTCCCAAGAGAGAGATATTCTTCTCTTTTAGATGTCCAATTCCCAACCAACCTTCCTCCTTAGGCTTGCATACTTGTTCCCAACTTACTAAGTGGCTTCTTTTCTCCCCGCCACCTTCCCAAAGAAGTTTCTTTGAAGTTTCTCAATCAAATTTCTGACTTTGGTTGGTACCTAGAAGACCGGGAAAAAAAAACCGACAGGTTTGCCAAGGAGTCCTTTAAAAGAGTGATCCTTCCTCTAGAAAGGTAGCACCTCTTCCAAGTTGCTAACTTCTCGCATTTCTCCACCACTGGCCCCCAAAAGCTTAAGGTTTTTGGATTTCCACCAAGAGGCATCCCTAGATAGAAAATAGGAAGTCTCCACTTTACATTCCAAAATAGTTTTAAAGTTTTCTGGAAGATACTCCTCAACTAAATTTATGGATACAATACTACTTTTGAAGAAGTTGACCCCCAATCCAATTACCAATTCAAAGTAGTTGATTAGCCTTTTTGTATTTAAGATGTTTTCTAAAGAGGCTAAACAAGGACGGATTCTTGGATCAGATCGGGTAGCATTTTCTTGCATATTGGACCAAGCAAACAAACCATTGTTAAGGGGGAAATTGCACAAATTGTGTCTAACTATGAATCTAGAAAAATCCTCATGCTTCTGGTCAAAGCTCTACCATTAGAGTGCTCTTGGCCGAATCCTATGACATTGAAGTCCCCTCCTATACATCAATGAAGGTCTTCAGACTCATGCAAAGAGTCAAGTTCATCCCATAACCTTTCTCTTTTTGAGGGTAAGTTAGGGCCATACACCCCAGTCAAAATCCAACTAAACCCATCTTTTTTATTGGTAAATAAGGTAGACATTGAAAAATCTCCTTTATCAACCTCCAAGCCAAAAATCTCATCTTCATTCCAAGCTAAAACAATTCCACCCATAAAGCCAACCGCAGGAACAGTAGCCCATTTTTCCCTTTACTCCCTAGATTGCTTTCATAAGCTTTTTATCTACTACTTTTTTTTAATTCTTGTAAAATGATGATATCAGGGTTTTCTCTTTTAAGCGTCCCTGTCACTAGACTCCTTTTGAGCTGATCTCCCAAACCCATGATGTTCCAACTAAAAACCTTCACCGAGCCTCACTCACAAAATTTCCCTTATTCATACTATTGCCAACTGATCTGCAGTTCAACATATCCCATTGAAGCCTTTTTAATTCCCTTTTAGGGCCTTTTTTCACTTCTCTCCTGATTTTTCCCATTTTTGATAATTCCTTTCTTATTTGATTCCTATTTTTTTGCCACTTTGCTCTCTTCATTCAATCCCCAAAAATCTAGCTATCTCTAAACTCTAAAGTTCCTTCATCCAAAGGCTCCTCCCTACCAATGCGATTTTGTGCAACTGCCTTCACTCTAGTATGGACTTTTGGGTACTGTCTGCCACTTTGCTTTGGTTGGGAAGATACTCCATTCAAACGTGAAAAGAAAAAGGAAGAAAGGTTGTAGTGAGAGACAGGAGAGGAAGTAGAAACCTGAGAATTGACAAAAACAGAAGGAGAGGGGGAAATCCTTGAAGAGGGTTGAGGGTTGTGAAGAGTCTTAGGAGGAGAAACTGGCTAGTTCCTTCCTTGTCTATTTGCAAGGGTATCAGAATCTGAAGTAATCCCATAATCTAGATTGACCAACTGTATTTGTTCAAAGAACTCCACAACCCCCCCCCCAGACTTCCTTCACTGCAAACAGATTTTTTGCCCTTCCAACTCTTGAGGATCTGGCTCAACTGCGCCAGTTAGAAAAAGTCATTTGTTACACATTGAAAGGGCTAGAAGACCTCAAGGTAGACCAAAACAGACTTGGGTAGAAGTAGTAAGAAGTGATTTAAGCACCTAATAAATTTAATGGTTGATATGGCTTTAAATAGAATGGATTGGCGAAACAAGATTCATGTAGCCGACCCCATAGGAAATTTGAAGGTGCCAACTAGCTCAGCTGGTAAATTCTGTGAATCAAATCCTGCATTCACCCTATCCCACTGGTCCACTGATCCACTCCCAAAGATGGTGAATTTAGTACTAGTTCTTGGGGAAGCCACTGAAATATATTTTGATCTCCTATTCCTGCATTCAACCATTTGGAGCTTTCCTCTTACGATCATTCCATCTTACATAATGTCAATTCCAAGAAGAAGAACCTGCATTTAGTACTAGTTCCTCCAAATGCAGTTCAGACTTCAGATTGTTACTGAAGAAACTTCTCTCCTTCAAGAATTAAATAAGGTCATACCCCATAGGCCCATAAATAGATCTGGTTATTGTTTCTTTCATAATTTCGATACTTTGATTAGAACTACTTGCAATAACTGTTACTGGTTTTTTAAGAAATTTACAGGTCCAATCTCCAGCTTCTAGTAGGAGGACTACCCTTCATATATCCTGCACCACTTTCATTAAACCTTTCTGTTTTTTTTTTTTTGTGATGGATTTTTCATTAAACCTTTGTTGCTAGCTTTCTTTCTCTTCTCAGATCACACCCAAAACTTGGATGAAGGACCATCCATTCACTAATATGAATCTTGAAGAATATACATTGACCATCAAGAAAAAACATTCCCTCGTGGAAAATATATCACTCTTATGGGTTCTTAATTAAATTTGAGTTGCTTTTTTAGAGAGAAGGCCATGGAGATTCAGCATTTTCCTTTATGAAACGAGATAGACTTCATATTCTATAAGATGTTTTAGATGGATTCCTAGATAGCTTAATTGTATAGCCGATTGCTTAGCTAAATCTAGGATGGGAAGGGATTATATTTATTAGCAGGAATACTTTGCCAATGTAAATTCTGGATGGCTTATTTTTTATGGGTTTCTTTTTTGGGGGTTTGTCATCCCCTACTGTACTCTCCCCTCCTCCCTTCTTTTTTTGTTCTTTAATGAAAGTCAATTTTTCTAAAAACCAAAAAAAAAAAATCTGTACAACCAGAAGCTGTACACAGGGCACTTACAAGCTTTCCAACAAGCTGTACACAGGGAAATAAGATTTAGTGGAGAAAGAAGGATGGAATGTGAGGGACCAAATGCATTTGTCGGGAGGTTGGGAGAGAAAAACATCATTTTTTGGTAATAAATAAAAATTTATTAATAGAAAAAAAGAGTACAGACAGGTGATAAGATATATTGGTCAGAAAGAGCGAAAAGATATCACCCCCTAATTTAGCACCAAGACCCATACAAATATAATCATTCAGTTATTCACCCCTTTTAAATACTGAATTCAGTCTAGCAAATTACAGATAAAAAACAACAAAGTGCAACTCCCATATTCAAGACCACAACAATACCCAGCAACCCTGTAAAAAAAAGCACCTTACCACCCTAGTACACAGACACCTATCAGTCTTCCTTTTTAGACTTTTCTTCATTTAATGAGTATCTTTTCTCCAATTTCGAGAACAGTTTCCTCGTCATTTCGTCCCCTCCTAACACCAAAATCCCTAGACCCTTGCTTACTTGGACTCCGGTTTCCACTAGCTTTTTCAAATCTACTTTCTTTTCTACCTCCCCAACCCCACCCAACAAATCTCCTTCATCTCCTTCTACTTCATGCTCTTCTTCAGAACTGTCTTCCTCTAATAGCTCCTCCTTTCCCTCACCTTCTTTATCTTTTTCCAACTTCTCCTCCCCTAAATCCTCCTCCTGCTCCAAACTCTCCTCTTCTGTTTGCATAGAATCTTCTGACTGAACCTCAGGAAAAGATCCCACATCCTTTTTTCCAATCTCAGGCTTTGACTTAGCTAGAGAGTTGCCTCTTCCCTCTGAAGCCTTTCTTTTGTTCCTGGCTTTCAGCCCCCTTCTGTTATATGTTTTCCTGAATTTATTGCACAGCCCACCCTCAGCAAGACCTTCCTCCAAACAATGAAAAACTTTAGTGACATGAACTAGTTGCCCATTATTTAGATTTTCGGGTTTTCACAAACTTCGGAGAAAAACATCATTAAGAGAAGTCAAGAGGGAAGAAACATCCTGGCATTCAGAATCAGTGAGGGATCTATGAAAGTTGAAATTGAATGATAGGTTATGTTCTCCTCTACACGGCACCAAAGAGACCACACTTCAGCAATAATATCAAGATATTCTTTCTTCATTGCCTCCACCCTTCTAAAGGCTTCTTTGCTCCACACTTTGATTGTTTCTTCCATACCCTTCAACTTTTTACTAAGGACATGGCCTGCCAACCCTTCAAAGTGCATCTAAGACAATCGCCCCTCTAGCAACCCCACAAATCCTTCCTCTTTGAGCCATAGGTTTTCAAACCTGAAAGGGGAGGATTTAGGAGAATTTCCCCCACCTTCAAAGTATATTGGAGAGTGACCCAATAGGGGCCAATCTCTCCTCCCATTTAATTGACACCACAAATCTGTCTAGTTTCACCAAGGTTGCCTCCTCTTGGTTATTAGTCCAAGTATATTTTGCTGCCAACAATGGGATACCCACAAGATCCCATTTTCTCATAAATCTGCAAACCCTCTCAAGCCTTCTGTCACCCTGCCACCCCCTTTATTCTCATATGCAGACCTGATGGTGTTGAAATCTCCACCAACCACCCATGGCTTCTCCCATCTTTCCCCAACTCCATCTCGTTCAGCCCAAAACTGCACCCTCAACCCATTGCCATTTGGTTCATAAGCCCATCAGTACCCACTGCGCAAATGGATCAGTTCATGATCTGATCCAATCCTATTTTGTCCAATTTGGATATCCCCTATCAGACTTCCAAACCAGATTGGATTGGATAATAGAATCCGATTAAAAATGGATAGAATTCATATCACCCCTATCTGATCCGATATATATATATATATATGTTATTTATTTATAAATATTTTATTTTGCATTTTTTGAAAGTTTATAATTATTTATTTTTATAAAAAAAGGCATATATATATGGTGAAAATAGCTAAGAATATAATTGTATTTTTTGTTTTCCTTTATATAATTATAAACTGCTATGTTTTTCTTTTAATAATTTATTAAATTTTTTAGAAATTAAATCGGATCATATCAGATTCAGATATCCAGCATCCTTAACGGATTTGGGTTCAAAATGATGCTTGTGGGATCTGATCGGATCTTCGGATCTGAATCAACGTTCCCCCTGCAGTTCACGTGGCTGGGACTGCCTACCACTCACAACAACCAAGGTCAAACATAATTAAATTTGAGTTGCCCCTTACCTATTCCTCAGTATGTATGTATATATATAAAGAAAGCCAATCCATCATAGCAGTTAGAAGTGATCAACTGTCCATTGCCTTCAATACTGCTAACTATTGCAGACTAGTTATGCAAATCAGATTGCTATGTTAACACAATCTTTTTTTCTGCTGGTTTTTGGTTGAATTCTTGCAGATCTCTTCCTCCATAGTGGTTACCATAAATGATTGAAAAATAAAACTACCCTTTCCAGAACTAGAAGTTCCAAGTGCAAAACATATTCACCATTAAATAAAAGCCTACCTCAATTTAGGCAGATCCTCAGGTAACAATCATAAAACTTTGCTATTCAAGGCTTCCAGTATACCTAACTATAGCAGGTTCGGGTTTATTCTACTAGGTGCAGACTTCATATTAATCAATAATGATGAACTTAACAACTCTTATCTCAAGCAATGTATATCGGTTCTTTCCTTTTTGGCAAAGTCAGTTGTTACTTGTCAATAAGTAATAATTTTTTATGAGTTATATATATGTCCAAATTGATTCCAACACTTCTGCAAATGAGTGGCATTCATATTTACAACCTCACAATCCAAAAAGGAGTTCAAAATCAGCGCCAATCAAATCCTATTACAGCCAAAAGGATGGTATAAAAAAAAATAAGAATTTGATTTCGATAGTATACTCAAATTCCATGTACTCTCTCATTTAGCCATTAACAGAGACATGAAAAAAAATACCATTCCCCATTCAAATCATGATGAAAAGGATTAATCACAGCTACTAATTTTTAAACGGAGCAATAAGGATAAAATTCAAGACAACTACAAATAAGAAAATGGACGATCTATCAAACCTGTTGTTGGTACAGCCCAAGCTTCCGGCGTTGTGTTTTGAGCGAGAGAATTGCTCGGTCAACATCCGTGACCTTTGGTTTCTTGACTAACAAGTTACCCATCTCTCAAAACCGTCCGCTTTCTCTTGTCTGAGACAAACAGGGGCTAGGTGACTACAAATTTAGGACCTGGAATCTGCAGTTCAGTAAACCCTAAAATACGAAAATTCATTCACGACCTTCCCAGTTCCGCAAGTGGTTTACTCGGTAGTGGATGCTTACGACTCGATTCGATTTGATTCTCTCTCTCTCTCTGGCTGCAGAGTTGGTGCCTTTTCATAGTTTTTTTGACCGTCCACCGGCAAGATTCCGAAACAAACGCCCCGGTTCAGCTAACAGCGATCAAAACTATCCAATATATATAGGCTATAAGCTGTAAATATTAGGCCACCCATGGGATGCATATAAATCCGTGTTCGACTCGACAACGAAATAACTGCTCCGAATCCGATCCGAGGTTCAATCGGGTGCCTAGGACTCTAGGAGGTCAATTCGAATTCGAATTTGATAGGATGCATCGGATTTCGGATTTTACCGCCAAGTTTGTGAATGCTTATTTGATCAAATATAAGTGATTATTGGAACCAGCAATTATTTAGGTTTGGCACCAGTTCTTTCAATCGTTTAATCTAAAAAATAAGTATTTATTTTATATTAGGCATTTGGTGATTTTTTCTCTAATAATCACTTATCGATCCCAACGGTTGGCCTGACAAAAAATTTTAAAAATAAAAAACGGTTAAAATTATTCAAACAGTTTCAACCGTTACCGCTCGGTTCAACGATATGCTGACCAAAATCAACGTTTTTTTTTTGAGAAAATTCGGTTTTGGGGGAAATGGAATTGGTCACCTAATTGATTCCCAGTTTTTCCAGTCTGGTCCGGTTTTGAAAACAATGCCCTGTAGGTGGAGCTAAAAAATTTTGGTCCGGATTGATCACTCATTCTCCTGAAAAAAATAATAATAATAACAGAGCTTGACGGTTGTAGTGATTGTTCGGTTGAAATGAGGAAATTGGGGAAAAAAATGTTCACCAACCTAGATGCATGACCTTTGGTTTGAGCTTTAGTGCTGCCACTGCTATGCAGTCCGTGCCAAGACAAGTAGAGAACAAAGTTTCATGGAATATAGAAAAACCCTATGGTTTTATAGCAAAGGGCATTATTGATATTTTGAAATATAACCAGGGAGTATTTGGAAAATAAAATTTCGAATAAGTGCTTATTGTATTAGCACTTAAATATAAGTCAGAATTTTTGGTTTCTTGAATAAACACTTATTTCGGGCTTATTTCTTAAGCACTAATAAATGCTTATTGGGCTTCTTGAATAAACTCCCAAACTTGGCCTTAAGCAAGAGATGTGGATGGTAGAAATTGAAGACAATGAACATAAACCAAAAGAGAGAGAGAGAGAAAAAGAAATAAAGACCTAAAGTATGAAGAATAAATGATTGTATTCAAGGATTAAAGTATCAATATCAAATATCGTATTAGACAACTCAGATAAAAAAACATTTTAAAAACGCATTGATCCAAACTAAAAAATATAAAAACGCTTTGATACATAGGGAAATGCATATAGATTCCACAAATATATCAATAACATTACATTTAAGGTCAAAATAGCCATAATTAGAGTATAGATACATGAGAAATGTGTTTTCTAATGGTATATACATACAAAGAAAATATGTTACAATTGATACAATGAAATACATGGAAATCATACAATTTTATTGATAACGTAGCAATAAAGAGTGCTATAACATATTATTTTTATTTTAAAAAATAATACATGCGTAAAGCTATTATTATATTATTTTCTATTGATGATGTTCAAGGCACTAGATATAAGCAACTATTATATGTGAATTATTATGTCAATTATTTCTTATTTTTCTTCTTTTTAATTTTTAACATGAACAAAATATTCGAGTAAAATTAATTTTCAATTATTTGGTAAGCAATATTTTTATTTTTGTAAACAATAAGCATGTTATTGTAAAATGTAACGAAAATATTAATTAATACTTTATAAAAGTATATAATCTTAACTTAAAATATACCAAATATATTAAGATTTCTAAGATATATATCATATGCAAATTCATAGTTTTTAATTACTAAAAATAATTATTCAACTATCAATATTTTTATTTATATAAAATTTATGAGATAAAAAATTAATTTTTATGAAAGCATAATTATTGATTTGACAAATTCAATTTATATTGCATTACCAGGTATTTTGTAAACAAACTTTTTTATTTTTTAAATAGTTATTATTTAATTTAAAATTAAAATATTAATTAATAATATATAAAAAAATAAGATACATATCATGTTTAAATTTATAAACATTATGTACTAAAATAATTATTCTATTATTAATATGTCTATTTGTATAAAATTATTAACATTAAAAACCACTTTTTGATATAAATGTGGATTTGAAAATTTATTTATTCCATTAGTTTAGAAAATAATAATTTTAAATATTAGTTTTCATCTTTAGTTGGAATTGTTGAACATAGATTTATATAATTTGTTTGAATTACATGTAGACATTATAATTGATAAATAATTTTTTTCATTAATTATCATAAAATTAAGGTTTGCCTAGTGGTTTAAGGCCATTTTTAATGTTTGTGCACTGGGTGATTTGGGTTTGAATCGCAATTGCATTTTTTAAACATATAGGCCATAGTGAAAATGTGGTTAGTATCGATTTGTATTGGTTCATATCAGCCAATACAATACGATGCGGGTCGATATGAGTGCACATCACCCCGATACACATGACTCTAGGGACATGGGACATAGTTGTGGTGTTTCCCATTTCCCATTGGCTTGTATCAATATGATACACCCAATACGGGGTGTATCGTGTCAATATTTAAATCTTTGGTTGTAGTGGATACTTTTGACCCTTTTGTTGATACCTTTAACATTGGAGGTGTTGAAAATGTGCATTGCCCTAAATTCTCATCCACCAACATGTGATAGACATCATCTTCTTGATTTTATTATTTTGCTTTATGTTTTAAATATCTATTGAAAGTATGAACACAATCAAACAATGTATTAGGAGCCACGAGTCAACAACATAACAATATGTTCACAACAAAGTGTTGGAGTAGTAAGGTGTAGTTATAGTTAAATGGTGGTCCATTGACTGAAGATTGAAATTATTTTATGGCCACAAAAGTTGAAGATTGAAATGGTTTCAACTTTCAACCTTAATGGCAACAAGACTTTGGAGAGAACAGAGAAGGAAGAGGCTCATTAAGGTTCAGGTATTGGGTTTGTTTATTGGATTCCCTGGTTTGTCATCGAAACCTATTATATATTACAATCTATAAGCATACTACTATTAAAGGTGTGAAACTTTTGTTTGACTAATATATTCGAGATTTTTAAATTAGTCTCTTTTTCATCATAAAGATAGAAACATAAATTGAACAACCACTTTTCTCCTATTTCAAACTTTCATCATTATATCTTGTATTCAAGGTATTAATTCCCATTAACATCCATTAAGTCTTGTTAAAATGTATATTTTTGAATTTGGTATCTCTTTAATTGTGATGGTACAAAATGTAATTTGAACCAACACATTTTTTCCTTGTTCAATTCCCTCACATTGTTATTATTTTATAAGTCTTAAAGGTGTAAATGAAAGTATGGAATTGTTGTTTGATTAAAATGCCCTAATTATTGAATTTGATTCATGTCTAATTGTAATGATAGAAATATAAGTTGATCAATCACTTTGTTCTCTTCATTCAAATCCCTCTCATTGAGTCTTGTATTTTAAAATATTGATTCCCATTAACATTCATTGAATCATATTATCCTATTTCTAAATCCAGATCATCTTTAATTGTGATGACACAAAACTAGGGACCGGATTGGATTTGTGGCTAAGTAAATGATCAATTGATTGGACAAATCGATGAGCAATTGCCTTCAACGACTCCATAAGTAAATGAGCGATTGATGTATTAACTAGACAACAAACTAATGAAATATGAAGAGAAGAAAATTAAAATATATATATTAAAAGCTTGTTTACAACCAAAATTCACTAAACCTAATTTCTATGGGAAGTATAAACCTATAGCGATCTCTATGAGCGACAGAGACAGTTATAAACCTCTGGTCCAACACACACATACACATACATTAATATATATTCAAAACATATAATATGAACAAGCACATTCTCGCCAAGACATCCAGATATCAATCCAAATATGCAACCAAGAAATTAAGGTAGATCAGATTACCTATCAAAAAACGAAGGCAAATAATGGATTTGAAGAAGATCTCTCTTTTAGTGAGGTAGATGACTTTGAAACGAAAAAAAAGAAATGAGAAACAAAACATCAAAATGGGAACAAATTTGTAGAGATCAGCAAACCTAATCAATCCCTTATATTCATTTCCAAAGAAACAAATAGAACAAAAAGAAAAAAAACTCTAAAGTAAAACAGAAAATGATAGTTCACAACATAAATAAGTGCCTGGACTTCCAAAACCCTTAATAGATCTCATGTAGTGATTGGATTTATTATGTTGTAACCTAAACCTAATGCCTTAACTCCCTAAATTATTGCTGAAGAATTTCTCATGCAAAATCAATTTTGTTGGATGATTGTCATCGTTGTTTACATGAAAAATAATGAACCATCAACAAAAAACAATGAAGCAAATCTAACAAACTTATCATTGATAATGGAGCCACGATAGTGAAGTTATAGGCTCATATTTGAGTTTGTTTGTGATGAAAAAGGCTGAGGTCGAAATAAGAATAAGAACAATATCTATTCGGACGAGGGAAGCAACCTATAAATGAAAAAAAAATCAAAATCAAAATCAAAGGCAGACCTCTATCAAACTCTCAAACTCTCGAAGAGGGCTCAGAACTAGAATATTCTCCCTAGAACTCTTGAAGAGGGCTCAAAACTAGTCTCTTATCTCTTGAACTCTTTAACTATCGAAGAGGGATCATAACGGTCTATTATCTCTCGAATTATCAAAGATGGCTTAGAGAAAATAGTCTATATCGATGCAATAGATATATCTGTTTAGTTCGATCGATCAGGAATGCAATTTTCACTTTGTTTTTTTGGAAACAAAATTTCATCTAATTTTCGATGCAAACCTTGGTCTGTAAACATTTTTGCTTCGAAAATCAGTTAATTTTTTAATCGTAACCAAATAAAAGCAAATTTGAATCGGGATGCAAATTTGCAACGGTTCAAATTTGCAATCCAACCAAACGCAGCCTTAGCTTTGCATATAATGTTGCTTCATGAAATCTTTCGAATCCGCTAGATAATTCAGTAG